GGGGGGGGGGATGGGAGGGGGAAGGGCCGAAGCAACTAAATTTTCTTCTACAGTGAAATGGGATGAGATTGACGAAATAAATAAGATAATTAGTTATTATGTGCTCATTTGATTGGAATGAGTTTATGGATGGATGGAAGCAAGAAGCAATCATTACTTTCTTCAACGATATGCACATTTATGGCGTTTTATTGCTCAGTTGAAATAGTAAAATTGAGTTGATCATTACAGCATGTCATGACATTACATATTCGATAAACATCAGCTATTTATCATGAACAGTAATTGTTTCAACAAATTTTCGTTAGTGAATGTGATCAAATACAGTGAGCATCTAAAAAATTTATTCTCTTGAATAAATAAAAATGATTGGTGGGATATACTTTACTGCACAACAGCAAAATAATATTGCTGAACTGAACATAGTAAATGAACGTTTAACAAAAGAAGAAATTGTTATTGGCTTTGTGCTCGGATTGAATTTTGTAAGGTTGAATATTTTCGTGAACGGAAATTGATAAGTGGACGGTTGCATGTTTTTGGGGCATTCTTTTGGCGAAAATAAGAACAAAGCAAGTGTGAGCATGATAATTCATTTGAATGTTATTATTGATATTCGAATAGTTGTTGAATGACGAGATAGATCAAGGAATCATTTCTTGGAAAGTTTGTTTGCGAATGATTCTCGTGGATGAGATCGATAGGTTGATTGTTAGCGATTTGGCCATTGCCGAATTTGCTGTTGAAGTGCATGACAGATGTGAAGAAATGAATGAGTTAATGTATGCATGGATGGATATGACTAATATATCTGAAAAGAAGAATTGTACATAATAATTACAATACTAATAATGGTAATGATAATGACGATAACAATTCATTAACGTATGCTTGCTCTATAGAATTGGTCGAGTGAGAAAGTTTTAATGAAGAGATAATGATTAGTAACAAATTGTTACATGAATGGATTGATTCTGTTCCGCTGATATTAAATGGTTTAGACAGATGGAGGAGAGCAACAAAACGGTAGCGGTGGTGGACCGGTATGTGCCAGATGTGGTCGGGAGAAACGTGCTGATTCTCGGAACACTTCGTGTCGACTTTGTTGCAGTTGAGGTGAAAAGATAGTCTCATAGACCTATACCTAGCTAACTGTCTCATAATCAGTTCATCTGATTCACATCAACACGCTGCAATAATTACTCTCTACAGTAAGTAAAATCGTGTTGTTGATGCGATTGAATAATATTATGTCTGATCAAAATCCGTTAGTTCGTCCATCCATCCATCAATCATTTTAGAATATCCACTTGATTTTTTAAAAAACACTATTATCATCTCTATCTGTTTTCGTCATACGAATACTTGCACATATACGTGTAACGCAATAAAGCGCATATATACGTGTAACAAGTTAACATCTTTATTATTATTGCAATATATGATTATATAATATTCATCTTACCAATGAATGGATGAAGAGCAGTCAAATAGTAATCACTTCAAGAAAGTTGTCATTTTTTATTGTCCTTCTATCTATCCATCTCTCGCTCTTGAATCTTTATTATTATTGTGCTTATCACTTCTGCTGTAATCATTATTGTTGCCATTTTTCATCTTACCATTATTGTTATTTTATTTCATTCATCTGTCTCTAGACTATAACATGATATAGAATTAGTTTTATGCGTATGTTTTTTATGTATTTACCTATCCAGTCTGCATCATCAGTCAATTAATCGGTCCGTTTTTTCTTTTCCTTCATTTTGATCTACTGTTCGTTATTGATTAATGCGCTCTCATTTAAGGATGTTAGCAGCAATAGCAGGAATATTCTCTAAATCAGCCAACAGAAACGCAAAACTTATTTATCCTCTCGACAAGTTTGAGTTTCAGAAATGAGATTCTTCTTAAGAAAAGACAAAACAGTATATTTTTTTGTTGTATTGCATCCCAATAGCTTTTCGTCGTTTTGTTTTCAGCATCTACTCGTTTTTTTTTTTTCGTATCAAATGACGGCGTATATGTAAGAGCGGGTAGCATTTTTGACGTACGGTTACACATCGCTAGGAAGGCAACAAAGATCACTCAAGTAGCCAGCAAGCAGCAGTAGATTACTATATGTAGGATAAAGCGATTAGATGGAAAAGAAGTTCTCAAAACGAAACAAACAGCCAGACGTTAATATGATGGAGAGTAAAAGTGATTGGTGAGTTGGTTGTTTGCTTGAGTGCGTTGCTGGGGAATAGCTGAATAGTGCGAGGCATGAGCGCTTAAATGAATAACAGTGAAGATTGTACGTATTAAAATGATAATCATTCATCCATTTTGCTATTTTGACGGTAAGAAAAAAATTTGTTCGATGTTTCCGTAAGGAGCAAAAATTGAATGATGAACGTACGCAAGTGTAGCATTTACCGATCAGAATAATGATAAATTGATAGAACTGAGTTAGCTGTTCGATCGTATGGGATTTGATTTAGAACTGGGAACCGAAAGATTTTGTTCGCTGTCCACCGACCAGGTAAGCTTGGAGAGTCGGTTGATTTTGGTCAGTGGCCACTGAAAGTCGCTTTCTCGATGTCATTGACTGATCAACCACTCGAAGATTTCAGTCGGTGGTCATTTTAGTTGTCATATATCAATATATTTTCATGTGATATAGTAGCAGTCACCTGTTTTATTCAGTCACCAACAGGTTGGTGATAACTGAGTGAATGGTCGTTTAGCAGTTCAGAAGAAAACGGTGCGTGCACCCGACATTTGTCGTTGATATAAGATGACGGTTGTGCGCTAAGCTGCTCTGCTGGTTCTGACTGTTCTGGTTGTGGCTCATTCGTTCTCTTCAATAATTTATGCAGTCTTCTGAGAATGGATCTAAGTAGTCGTCTGTTTGACATGCTGTTACGCCGCCACGGAGTTTCACACAACTACCGTCGATGGTTTTTGTCTGCAATGAATTACTGCGCAACAAAACTGAGCATTAACATAATGGTGATCTAATTGCAAATAAATCTGTATGAGGTAATGC